ACGTATGTGATAGCCTATTGTACATTTTGATACCATTGTATATAAAAGAGTCTCTTATTAGTTCAGTTTTGGGAATAGGCAACTTCAAGTTACCCGTTTGGCGAGTTACAAGGGATGTATTCGATTTATATTTCGACTTGTTCTTATGGATCATGCAACAAGTTTCTAAGATAAATAAAGATGTTAATGTTAATATTTCTTGTTTTAAGAACAGCGGTCTGCATGAAACTAATCTGTGTGCTCCACATAAGAACCTTATTGCTCGTTTCTGCATTATAAAGACTCTGTCAAATAACTCGGCAGAACAGACTCCCCAAAACTGAACAGCATAACGTAGATGGGAGTCAACTAACGCATAATATGCAGTTTTTGCTGCACAAACTCCCAATTCATGAGAGGTGGTTCTAATGGCATAACAACCCGATGCGAGTTTTTTTAAAAGTGAATCCACATGAGATTTGAATTTCAAATCCATGTCGATATTTAAACCCAAAAATTTTGTACAGTTTGTGGCTTCTACAGTATCCATATCTATTAAAATATCAGGAACATTACATTTAAAGGTTAGTATTTTTGTTTTTTTAAAATTTAATGACAGAAAATTTGCAGTGCACCATGTTTTAAAGGATTTTAGGTCATTACTAATATTTGCATAAAGAATATTGACGTCTTTATTGTGCCACAAGATAGTAGTATCGTCAGCAAATAGAGTGAAACTTCCTGAGATATTTAACTTACCTAAATCATTGATATAAATTAAAAACAGGGTGGGCCCAAGAACAGAACCTTGAGGGACACCCCATTTTATGTCACTTGTGTTCGAGTCTGAAACAGTTCGGACTAACTGTTTGCGACCTAAAAGGTAGGATTTCATCTAACTCAAGGCCACATCTCTTATGCCATAAATTTCAAGCTTTTGCAGCAGTACTCCATGGTTGACATAGTCAAAAGCTTTAGTCAGATCACAAAATACTGCAGCTACGGCCTCGTTGAAATTTAAACTTGTATAAGCTAATTCCAAACAAGAAAAAACAGCGTCCGATACGTTTTTGCTGTGTTGAAAACCGAATTGATTTATGTCCAATATATTATTTTGGTCTAGATATCTAACTAGTCGAGTTTTTACAAGTTTCTCAATAATTTTTCCGAGTGTCGGAATTAGAGATATGGGCCTAAAATTAGATGGCTCAGTCAAGTCTCCTCCCTTATATAATGGAACCACAACACTTGTTTTAAGAAAAGGAGGAAAAGTACCTTCAATAAAACTTTTATTTATTAAAATGGATACGTATACGTTTGTAGCGTTGCTTTAACTCTCTACTCTCTCTACTGAATTGGAGTTTACATAACTCCTAAATTTCCATTTTAGTGGCCACGCCACTGCTTCGTAGCGGTTAGTAGTTAGCATCAATTTTTGCTTGATTACGAAAAGAAAGTAAGTAGAAAAAACGAGATGCATTTAGCAGTTAACTCTATGAGTGGCGCCGAGAGGCAAAAAGCAGCGTAATTTCCAGATTATTAACAGGGTTAGAAGTTCTTTGACCAAATGGAAAGGGCGGTTTTTTGTTGGGGTAGGTAATTCAAGGGGATTCATTCGTTTGAACCCTCGCGCTGATTGTATAGTGTGAAGTGGATCAAAACGAGAGTGAATATTTTTCATGTTTACGAGGTACGTTGAAAAATTTTGGAAATAACCTTTTTCTTTTTTACTACGTACAACTTATAGACAAATAATGTGATCAGGCCAAAATCTTCATGAATTATTTTAAATATTTGTTTGTGTGTTATAGAATTTGGTTACAACATTATAAAAATTATTTTTTTCTTAAAAGTATTTATATAGTTTACTATATCAGAGGCCCTAGATAGATGTAACACAGCTTATACAATACAGCTAAAACACTCTCTTGGCGGCAACGGTTTGCGTCGATTTCGTCGCGCATCGCTTAAGCTCCGCCTTCGAAGGGAAAAGACGGTTTTGGTGTTCAGAAGCGTACTTAGGTAAGGTGTTGAGTCGTGCGTATAATTTCGTTGATTGTATAATTTCGTGGAGCCTATAATTTCGTTGATTGTATAATTTCGTGGAGCCTATAATTTCGTTGATTTTGTTTGAGTTAAAGGTACTGTTATTATTTTGGTGACTCTTTAGCTATGAGTAGAATGAGTGAAAAAAAAAAGACATCATTCTGTTTGTGCAGTCAAAAGCTGTTTTAATAAGGGTTATACCTGCAAGAAAACATTCTTTAGTTTTCCCAAGGACCCAAACCGATAAGTACCACATTATAAGAAATTTTCATTGTTAAAAATATAATTTATGCAGGGTATCCCATTAGTGCGCTATTGTTCATTATTTTGTAGTAGACACGCAAGAAAGTTTTAAATAAAAGTTATATGGATTTGAAAAATACCTACATATTTTAAAAATATCTTTGGATATACAGGGTGTCACGTTTTTGCCTGGCAAATTAAAATGTATGTTTTTTAAATGGAACACCTTGTATTTTATTTTATGATAAAATTATTAACACCCTAAATTATTGTAAAGACGAATTGATACAGAAAAATTTTATCAGGTATGTGTGTGGTTACCTTTTAATAAAAGCCTTGCGGATCCACTCCTCTGCGATACCTGTCTTAAATATAACAAAGATCACGTTGAATTAGATTATTTTTCTTTTTATTGCTTTTTAAAGGCATATGATAACGCCAATCCAGATACATTTGGAAATCTGCAACTGTCAAATGATGAATTTGTAGAACTAATATTCAATATTGAAAAGATATTTCAAAATAATTTTGAAGAATTGGCTACAAAAAATAACATTTGTACCACACTTTTAGAATTAATTAACCCAATACCCTTTAGTCATCCATGCTAACGTTTTCCAAAAGAATAACTTATTTTATTGTATGTTTAATCTCAATAACTAAAAAATATACTGACAATTAGTTTGACAGAATTGTCATTTATTTAAAATTTTAAAAATAGTAGTAGTCGGTTGATCAAAATATGAACGGTGATTGGCGAATTTATTTTTTTTTGCAGTGTTCTCACTACCTAGAATGGATATGAAATATATTCGTTCAATTGAAGGCAATAGAATACTTTTTCGTTTTGTAATCTGTGCATGGATATTAGCCAATCTATGCACATACTACAAAACGAAAAAGTATGTTATTGCGTTCAACTACGAATATATTTCATATCCATTTTAGGTAGTGAGAACACTTTAACAAAATTAAATCTACAAATCACAGTTCATATTTTGGTCACCCAACTCCTATTATTTAAATTTTTTTAAATAAGTGACAATTATGTTAAACTAAGAATACATCTAAATATAACCAATATTGTTAAAATAAAAGCACAAATTCTTTATAATTCCAAAATACCATAGAGTTCCCAGACCTCAGTCGAAGCATTCGTTTATCTAGGTATAAACCCTTTGCGCGAAGAGTAACACTTGCCAGAGACACGGGGTACCACTTGATTTGCATCCACGAGCGTGACACAATTCTTTAACAATTGAAGCCCTTGGTGTAAAAAGGATCCAAGCCACAATTTGTCGTGAAGTGACTGTTTTAGCTCAAAACATTTGTTAACGAGGATTTTACTAGCCACATACAAATTATTTTACCTCTAATCCGAAAGATGTGCTATTTTTCGTAATATTTATATTTAAATAATGTTTCTAATTATATTTGACAGATTTAAAACAAATTAAAAATTTAATTTCCCAAAACTTACTTAATATGGCATGTAACCAACCTTATTACGCCAAGGTTTTCAATTTTTTCAATAATAAAAAAATTGTTTAATCCGGGCCCGACTTTTCCCTCGAATCTAACAGAGATAGCACCATTCCGTCTTGCTTGGTTCTCGACCGCCAGATCAAAGACGCCGACACGGAGTTGTGGAGCTGTATTGTATAAGCTGTGGATGTAATATACACTGACTTTTCTAAAGCTTTCGACAGAATTAACCAAACCATCTTACTCAAAAAACTTTCCTCCATAGGTTTAAGCACGGAGCTACATCTTCTGATAACTTCTTACTTACAAGACAGACATCAGTATGTCCAGTGCCGTGGTTATAAGTCAGAAAAATTCCAGCAGTTACCAGGAGTACCACAGGGATCAAATTTGGGGCCTCTTTTATTTAATATATTTTTGAATGATATTGTTCTTAACATCAATGATCTAAAGGTCTTAATGTATGTAATGTACCTAATTTCATAGCTTTGTGGTAAGTATTTGCATCCACCTGGACGACAGCTTGGAACAGTTTGTTATTCTTTAAGTGCGGTTTAACGTAAATTATTTTAGAAGCAGAATTTTCACTAAAACATGATTTATTTTGTTGTTTAAGATAGTCCAAAAGAGTGTCATCATCAAATTTTTCAGACATACTAGCGATCTTAATTCGTGGATATATTTCACATCATATTTGTCACCTAGATTAGTGTTGAGGATATGTTGAAATTTAGAAAAGTCATCTTTATTTCCACAACTAATGACTAAAACACCTGTATAAAAGTTATAATTAAGAAAATGGTAGTTTAACAATACAACCCTGATTATAAAAACGAACGGTATATAAATATATCTTGAATTGATTTTAGTCATCTTGTGCATTTGTTTTGTAATTCAGATAAACTTTGAACCAGTTATTTCATCAATAAATACAATAACATAACAAAAATGTGTTAAATTTGTTTTTATTAGTAAAAACTATTATTCTAGTTATACTTTCGATAGAAACATGTATAAATGTATTTATTATGGATTCTATATTACTGCTGTTTTAATTATAACCGTACAAGCAGGTGAGATGCATTTTTTTATCATTATCGCTATACAGGGTGAACCAATAAAACCCCGTAGGTAAGAAATAGGAAAATAAATTAAAATTAAATTTTTTTGCAGTTATCGTGAAACAAGGCAAGTGCGTTAAAATATTTTATAACCAGGACAATTACTACAGATACCAATGTTTCCAGAACATTAGTAACATACTTTCAATAACTACTGATAAGAATCATACCATTCAAACAATTGAAGATACCAAAGATTGTTTCAAAATAATCAAAACCGACCCTTTGGCAACAAAAATCGTTTGTAATGAGATACTGAAGACGGATTGCTGTAAAAAGGGCGAAATATTGCTGAATATGGTATCGAAAGAAAGCGGAGAAATACCGTGTGTAAAAATCGAGAGCAGGGATCAATTTATCGCAATAAAAACTAGCGATTTCGTGATGTTAATTCAAAGGATAAATCCGCGTCAAAGATTTTTGATAAATATCGCTAACAGAAATCCAGATAGGGAATAATTGATATGAAAAATACTGTAGATATTTCATTTTATAGTGTTTTTTTTTATTTGACACCATTAAAACAAGTTAACACTTTAAAATTTATAAAGTTTTTAATATATATTTATTAATTTACGATTATTTTTAATTTATATACATATATTATCTAAAAAATTCTATTCTCGATCTGGATAATTGTCCTGTACGTAAACAAGTTGATTTTGTGGAGGCATTAACTCAATCAGCATAATAAAATTTCCTGTTTTAATCCCTAAATAAGGTCTAGACCTTTTCGAAACCTCACAACGTATTGCAACTGTTTCTTCAGGATTTTTGGTCCAAAAAGATTCCTTTTCATTAACAGCTTCGCATTTATCAAAAACAATGTCTTCTTCGTATAAGAGGGAATTACCAATGTTTCCATTATTGATAATTTTATATTTGTTTGTGTTTGTGACATCCATATCTAAAGTGATCGTGTCATTTTTATCGGTCGTTATTGATAGAGTATTATTATTATTATTATTATTGCTGATAGTTTTGAAGCAGTATATTTTGTAGTATCTGTCATCGAAGTAGTAGATTTTTGAGCATGTTCCATCGGTTATTGTAACTGTAAAAAAATAGACAAATTATAAAAAGTTATGCGACACTTATATTTACTAATCTTATTACTGTTAATAAAATTGGTTTTTTAGTGTAATCACCCTTTAAAATATCCTAAATGCATCTTCTACGTTTATGTTTAAATACAGCTTATCGTTTGAATTTAAACACGGACGAATTATAAAACAGAAGCCAAGGAATTATCCTTCCTCAGTTATAATCACGTTTTAAAATGCAACAAAAATTTGTTACAGCGAAAGGACTATAAGAACAATATACAGCAAAAATTATTAACATTCACCTACACTATTAGGTACAAAGTAACGTACACAAGTAGAAAAAAGTAGTACTATTCTTTATCTCTCCATTATCATAACGTATTTCACTAATGATGTGCAATTTTAGTTGTTTGGGCTATTACAAAATCTAAACAATAAGATTTAAAATGATTCTATAAGATATATCTAGAATTATAGAAAAATAAAAAAAATTGTATATTTTAACGCCAAATAATAATAAAAATGTTCAAATACAGTACCAACATTTTTTCATTGCAATATTTTTTCATCCAACATTATTTCATTGATTTTTTCATCTTAAACTTTTTCAACTAATATTTTTTTATTCGATTTTTTCCACCCAACATTTTTTTCATCCAACATTTTTTTTATGCAATATTTTTTTCTTTCATTTTTTCATGCCTCATTTTTTCGTTCAACATTTATTTTTAATTCAAAATTTTTTTCATACATTCATTTTTCATCCAACCTTTTTTTCAAAATTGTTTCATCCATCATTTTTTCATCCAATATTTTTTTCATGCAACATTTTTTCATGCAACATTTTTTCTTCCAAAGTTTTTTCAACCAAAGCTTTTTTCACCCGCCATTTTTTCAACCAACATTTTTTCATACAATATTTTTCAACCAACACTTTTTCATCCATTCAACATTTCTTTGCCTAACATTTTTTCATCTTTTTTCATCACATTTTTCATACAAAATTATTAGGGTCCAAATTTTTTCACCCGCCATTTTTTCCGTTCTTTTTTTATTCAACATTTTTTCATTATTTTTTTCACGTAACATTTTTTCATGCATTTTTTCATCCTACATTTTTTCATTCAATTTTTTCTTCAAAATTTTTTCATCCAACATTTTTTCTTCCAACATCTTTTCATCCAACATTCACAAAAAAATTTTTTTCATCCAAAGTTTTTTTTAATTTTTTTTAAACCAAGACTTATCCAGAGCTAATTCAGAAGTGATCCAGAACTAATCCAGATCTAATCCAAAACTGATTCAGAACTGATACAGAACTGATCCAAAACTCATCCAGAATTGATATAGATTTTTTTTATCCCAGTTTTTCATCAGATTCTCTCATATAAAATTATTTTGTTTAAAATTTTTAATAAATATGCCATGCAACTATATCGTCCTAAATTTTAGACAGTTTCTTACGATTTTCTAGTAATGTTTACAAAAAGGGGTTACTTATAATATCATTTATTCACTTACCATCAGTTGAAGCTTCTTTTAAACAAATCAACAATAAAACAGTAGTTAAAAACAACTTTTTAATTGCCATATTTTCATCAAATATCTACGACTTTCTCTAAAATTAGTATAATTTTGATTTTTCGGTTTATAATTAATGTTTTGATTATTGTTGGGTCAAAAGAGCGAAAATTAATCAACATAAGGATATGCTTTTATTAATACATTTTAAACTACAGGGTCAACCATCCTGCGTTCTATTGAATTTCGATTTCACAATATTTATAATTTTTGAAACTATTATTTACACAATTTAAAATAATTTACATAAACTTTTTTTCAATGTTAATGTATTAAAATTATCTTAAGTGACTCATTTGCTATTATTTATGCATTTTATATGGAGAAACCCAATCAAAAATCATTAGTAACTTATTAGCAATTAGATTAATAATTCATCTTAGTATGAACAAGGTAATTAATTTATTACATTCATAGAGAAGGTGATTCAAAATATTATCAGTTATTATAGCAGAAATAAGAAAACTATGATTATTAGTCTCAAACAAAAGAACGCATTTCATTAAATTACTACAAGTTACATACCTATTCTCTGTATATTTCTTTTGTTATATTTTGTTCCATAAAATTAATTTTTAAAGTTTAAATAAGTGAATTTTAACTATCTTTCTTAATTTAGAACAACAAATTCTGCAAGATTTCTTGAATTTTTGAGATTTGTTTTGCAGGTGAACAAGCCATGTTTACAAAACCGTTATAAAAGAATGCTTTCTCGAAGCAGCTGAGTCTTTGTTCGTAAATTTCAAAAACAAAGCTGAAATAATTTCAACCATTAAAGATATTCAACTATCCCGGCAAATCGTGACTAGACGTGTGGAAATAATAAACAAGACTGCTCTTACTTTTCACTCTAATTTGATGAATCCACAGACCCAACAGATGTGGCGCAACTGTGTATTTTCATACGCATAGTCTTTCCAGATATGACCGTTAAAGAAGACTTTCTAACAATGATACCGTTGAAAGAATGTACTCTAGGAGTAGATATCTATGATTAATTTCTAAAGTACACACAAGAAGCACAAATGCCGCTGTAAACTTGTATGCATAACCACAGATGGAGCTCCAGCCATGACAGGCAACCATAACGGATTCATCGCACTGTGTCGAGCTAATGAAGAATTTCCGAGCTTTTTCGCTTTTCACTTAGTGATTCATCAACAAGCACTTTGTGGAAAAATATTAAACATGAAAGATGTCATGACGATAGCCTTCAAAGTAGCAATCTGCATCCGAGCCAGAAGTTTGCAGCGACGATTATTCAAAGCACAATTGGAAAGTAGCGGATTCGAGCACACTGACTTACTTCTTCACGCAGATGTAAGGTGGCTAAGCCGTGGAAGATTCCTTGCAAGATTTCATGAGTTACTGCCTGAAATAATAATATTTCTAGAAGCCAGAGGAGACGATGTTGAAATGCTGAAAAATGGAAAATGGCAGAGCGATTTGGCTTTCTTAGTCGACATTACAAAGCATCTCAACGATATAAACCTGGAGTTGCAAGGAAAAGACAAAAATATTGTGGACCTGATGTCCTCCATAAATGCTTTCAAACGTAAGTTGAAACAATTGAAGGAAGAAATTAAAAACAAAGACTGCAGGAACTTTCCAACCCTGCTATTGCAACAAAACTCTGAAAGTTTCGTGTCATATGAAAACGAAGTGACAAAAATTCTGAGCGAATTTGAAAGACGCTTTGAAGATATTAATAAAATGGAGAATATTTTATCATTTCTGTCTTACCCATTTACCTGCACAAATGTTCATGAAATCTCTTCTAGCTGTAGCCACTATTTTAATATGGAATGTACTGCTCTTGAGGATGAAATGTTGAAGCTCATTTCGGATATAAATTTAAAAGCTAGAGCCGGCAACAGTGATTCTTATTCTTACTGGTCATCAATATCCGAAATAAAATATCCATTGATGAAACAAATTGCCCTACGAATAACTGCTTTCTTTGCATCAACATATCTGTGCGAGTCTGCATTTTCGCATATGAAAATAATAAAATCAAAATATCGTACACGTCTAACAAATGACCACCTGACAGCCTGTTTGCGTTTAGCATTAACAGAAAATATCCCTAATTATGAAAATTTCGCGGAGGACCACCAATGTCATGCTTCGACATCAGCGTTAAAATAATTTTTCTTTTTTATCACTTATCAGTAGAGGGCGGAATATATGCATCAAAATATAACAAAATATGCGCATATATATGCATCGTTTTTACCAAAAATATGCAGTTATTTTGTCCAATTATGCCTAAATATGCAAATGCATATTTGTTAAAAATACTTAAAAAAAAGTAGGGGGTGGGTAGCTCAGTGGTTAGTGCGTTGGCCTGTGGACTTAGGGGTCCCGGGTTCAAATTCCAGCCGGGACGCGATTTTTTAAATTAATTAATTTATTTGAAAATTAATTCTGATGCCTAGCGAATATTTCCACTCGACCATTCACTGTTGGGTTCTAATTAACATTGCTGTTCCTAATTTGGTACGCTATCAAAGCCATTACACGAAAAAAAAAACAAAAGAAAATATGTAATATAAAAATTTATTTAAAACAAACGAAACACAAAAACTAGTAGAAGTTAAGTATAGAATAGTATAAAAATATTAAATAGTAATATTATAATAGGAATTTATAATTAAATATTTTTCGAAATTTTCTATTAAAAATTTTTGTCTTCTGTCTGCAAAAATATGTTTTGATATAGAAAAGGTCCTTTCAACATCTACCGAAGTAATAGGACAATACCGTAATTTTGGAAGTAATGTACAGGGCCAACGTAAAACTTCTTTGGAAAATTTTCCCTCAAAAATGTTT